TCATCCGCTGTATCATCTTGCTCCTCCGTGTCACCAGATTCGTTATCTTGCTCCCCCGTTTCACCAGATTCGTTTTCATCCGCTGTATCATCTTGATCCTCCGTTTCACCAGAATTGTTTTTATCCGCTGTATCATTTTCCATTTCACCAAGGTCGTAACATTGAGCACCCATCCAGAAGAACAAATTATAACTGAATATTGACACTGCTGTTGAAATCTTGATGAAAACTTCGGTAGAAACCTTTGCTGCAAGCACCGTACCCAAGATTGTCCCTGGAAGTTTAGCAGCAAATAACTTTTTTCTTATACGATTCCTCATTTTCCTCGCATTTTCCTGCTGTAGCTGTGTTGACACATAATCTATCACTACCACTGTGTCCTGTGGACCGTTATTCACCATCTTTTGTACTCGATACTTTACTGATGAGTTCCCGCTATTCTCTTTCTCTGTGCAACTTAACTCCGGATAGCAATATGTCCATAATCCTTCTTGGGCTCCCTCTTTCAGCATCGGACACACATGTGGTCTCCAATTGTATTGTTCCCCGAAAAAAAAACCGCATACACAACTTTCTCTTGTAGTTGCAGCTGGTGCTATGTACCTAAATAACCCATTGTCCGGATAATAACACGGACATCCTGGTTCGGGTTCGTGAGGCGGAGGTGGAGGTGGAGGTGGAGGTGGACGTCGATGTGCAGGTGGAGGAGGAGGTGGACGTCGACGTGGATGTGGAGGAGGAGGTGGACGTCGATGATGTAAAGGTGGAGGAGGAGGTGGACGTCGACGTGGAGGTGGAGGAGGAGGTGGACGTCGACGTGGAGGTGGACGAGTAGGTGGACGTCGACGTGGAGGAGGAGGTGGACGTGGTTTCTCTGACCTTTCCACGGCCTTTTCAAGCTCAGTCCTGTAAAGATAACTTGTAGAACCTTCTCCAGCGTAACCCGCTCCCAGCACTGATAGTTGTGCAACAAGAAAACGCTGACGGTCACTCCTTTTGGTTGGTCTAAACCACAATAGCTGAGTACCCTGCAACAAGAATTGAAATTCAATTTTCCATTAAAAAAAAAAATTTGATGATCAATTAATTGTTAGATTTCTTTAATATTAGTAATTCGCTACTTTTTGTTCAATTTTCCCTGTGAGTGTCTCAGATTTGGGATCTACATTTCAGAAAATATATATATATATATATTACTTTTCTGTTTTAAAATATAAAGATTTTTATTTTTTATATATTTTTAAATAATATTTTTTATAATATATAAATAATAATTAAAAAAAAAGTTATCAAATGAGACTAATAAACAAGCATCATGTATATAAAAATATATATATTATTATATATATTTATATTTAGCAGAACATTTTCATTAAGTGTTAATTATCAATTTAACCTTGTAGCCAACAGAGTAAGAAAAACACAAGGTGTGGAGTGCAACTCTGTACCTCATTCAGGGAGAGAAACACAAATATCCCAAACCTTAGAGAGGTGAAAAGGCAGAGTAACACCTGTTTTTATACCACGGTATTAAAGACGCAGCTAGAAAAATAAACTTACAGAGATGAAAGTTGCATAGGTGTAGAGAGTCATTCTGGCGAGACCCATGCGGAATTTTGCCATGTATACCAAAAAAAGGCCAAAAAGTACTCCTAATCCTTTTTGGAAATTCGCAAAGATCACTGAAGTTCTGAGGCCGAGCATTCCTTGCTTTTGGATCAACAAAACCAAATAACCTAAATATCCATATTTTGCAGTCGAGTGGCCGGAAAGTAAAGCTGTAAAGTACACACAACAGAGTGGAAAATAAGGTTAGTCGCAAACTTGCAAACTTATATATGCACACCTCAGTTTTCGTTTCTTTGAAGATGAGTCTAAGGCTTAGTAATATTAACAACACCTGTTAAGGCCAAACCAGAACTGGCGAAACTAGAGCTGGCAAAACCTGCGTAAGCCAAATCAGCGCCGGAGTCCAGGGGGTTGTAACTGGATACATATTCAAGTATACTCTTCCAGCTGAGAGCCCCTGTCATGGGAAGAAAAATGCAATTTCAGCTGCCTATTTCTTCTCTAGAGCCAAATGAGCGATC